TCATTCATGCTCCTCCCCATATCTATCTATCTATCTATCTTATAGTAATTCCTTATAGATGCGTTACCATCTGAAACTACACGCACATAGTTCTGGGAACGCCATCTGTTGGAAAACAGCAAGAACTTATTCAAGGACTAATATATATATATATATATATATATATATATATATATATATATATATATATATATATATATATATATATATATAGGTATATATATGTATATATATATATATATATATATATATATATATATATATATATATATATATGACAATAGGAAAACTGTAGTTATTGTTGACGCGTTTCGTCCAATGTGGACTTTCTCAAAGCAAAAAACGAAATGAATTTTAAAAAAAAGTAACTAATAATAACAAAAACAGAATGTCCTTAGCAACTGGATGAATGTAGAGAACGCTATTTTCATATTGTTAACTGAAAATAACGTCAGTTATTGTCACGTGTGGAGAATATTGTCATTATAGCTGTGTTGGCGGATTCAACCATTTGAAATGAATTCGTAAAATCAACGTTATTTTCAGTTAACAATATGAAAATAGCGTTCCTACATTCCTCCAGTTGCTAAGGACATTCTGTTTTTTGTTATTATTAGTTACTTTCTTTAATTAAATTCATTTCGTTTTTGCTTTGAGAAAAACAAAAGTCCCATTGGACGAAACGTGTCAGCAATAACTACAGTTTTCCTACTGTCATTTATATTTATAAATATTATCTTTTTCTAGGTATAGGTTAATTTTCATATATATTTATATATGAGATTAAGTATTATCATTATTTGTTTTATTTTCATTACTCGGACTGTTATCCTCATCATTGCAATATTCGCGACGTTTCGGCTGTTGTATGCTGTAGCCTTTTTCAGGTAATTGGAATTTCGAACTAACACTTTAACTGTGCCCACCGAGGAAGTTTATTCTAGTTCCACGTGTCATTCCTCTTCCTGATGTTTCAGCTATCTCCTTTTAATTGAAACCTTCAAATTTTTGTTCACCACTGTGCTAACCAGACTTACAACTCTTTAGGTCAAGTCACTGGATCCAACCAACGCTTTTATCCATTGGGTCATGCGTCATTGATCAGGAAATAAAAAGTTCAGTTCGTAATACCAATCATCTGAAGTAGGCCCGGTCGTACAATGACCGAAACTTCGTGAGCATGACGATAAAGATTTGGACAACAGTTCGAACAATATAAATAGTTTAAGATGCTTAGCACGGTTTTAATTAAAAGCATGTTCTTATTTCTGAACTTTAAAATGATGCTCTAACCATAAGACTTACTATTAAGACAAGAGTATATTTTTTTGTCATAAGCATAAATACCAAATTGAGAAATGATGGCTTAGGTTCAAGGATAGATTTCTGTGGGACACCCACTGTTGTGATGTCTTCTAATCAGTGACGAAGAAGTCCTCTGCCTACTGAGTAATGATTGATTTATTTAACAGTTGCTGGTCTTTTATGCAAAATAGGGCAAGTCCATTTTGCCTATGTCATTACACCTCCTGGAGATAAAGAGGTTTTATACCCTTTGCTGATCTGTGACTTCTTCAAGCAAGAATACGAGAAATTCTCTCTCTCTCTCTCTCTCTCTCTCTCTTTTTCTTTTGAGGTATGTACCTGGTTCTTTTGATTGGGGATCAAGGTCTGGACTCATCTTCCTTCTGATCTTCCAACTCCATGTCACATTTGAGTAAAACTGTCCTCCATAGTTTCTTTATCAGAAGCAATCAGGTTTTCGTCCCTTTCAGGTTCCTCCTCCTCTTCTATCTCGACTTCATCATCATCATCATCACTTCTAGGCCTTTTTTTTATCAGAATGAGCCATTAACTTTTGTCTACTTGTTACTATTATGGCTGTTGCTATTATGTCCCTTTGAATGAATGACTTCGACTTATACACAAGTACATGTGGTAGAATCGCAGTCTGGTTGGATTAATTGAAACTTATATACGAAACCTGACCTAGAAAACGGCTACAGAGAACAAAAGACTTGAAATTGGATGATGAAAATCCGCAACAGAATCCAAGCAGAAAACAGTAAGTCGAAAGAAAGAACCGTAATAAGAGAGAAAAATGATATATTTATGATTTGGTTGTATATTTCGTAGCGGGAAATAAAGTATCCTCGCGCCAAAAAAAAAAAAAGAAAAAAGGAAAAAAGAAAAAGAAAGAAAAAGAAAGAAAAAGAAATGAAAAAAAGAAAATATATCCCCTGCCTAAGATGGGCTTCACTTAAGCAAGGCAGCTGCCTCGTAACCTTTGCAATAACTTGACTCCCTAGATATCAAATCTGGCGACAGAACGACCCAACTGCCGGCGGGAAACAATTTGTTCTTTACAACCGGCATCGATTTTGAAATATCGGTTCAAATCCTGAAGGTTTAGTCTCTTCATCTTTTCTTTCGTTCATTCTGTACATTCCGTTTTTCTTTTTTTTCCTTTTTTAAAACTTTTCTCATATTTATTTTTTGTCCTATTCTTTATAGCTTAAAACCCCACATACATTTGCCTCGCCTCTTTTCTTTGATTTATACGATTTTTTTTTTGGTTCGTTCCCTGACACATTCCTGTCTTTCTACTTATCTATCTTCTTCGCCTTTCAAAACGTTTCTCTCCCTAAAGAATAGGCGGTTCTAAACCTGAGATCGTAGTGTATTTCTCACTAGAACCATTATTCGGTGTTCGAGCCGAGTTAAAATGACAGGATTTGGCGTGGGTATTTTCTGTTGATGGCAATCCCTTCTGATTTAAAGATTTCAAACAACGAAGCAAATCCGAAACGTGTTTAAATTCACACTGACCTGATGCATTCCATCAAGCTGCTTCCTCATATATTTTTATTTTCTGCTCATGTTCATTATCTATTATGCGGTCCACATGAAAGAAAACTCAATGTAATCCCTTCTGCACGCAAAGATAGATATTAATCTCGGCTCCTCCAAATATATTCTAAAAAAAGTGTTTGACGAAAAAAGTCCACAAACTTTATAAAAAACAAAGATTTATCATCAAAATGTTTATGTTATTATTAAGAGGCAAGAACAAAGTATTTTTCGATTATTTTACTAAATTTTTAAATCCTTTCTAGCGCGTTCGAAATTTTCTTTAAAAACCTTCTTCCGATTGAAAAAAAGATTAGTATATGCATTTTTAGTATTGGGAAAAGAGGTTAGAAACACATTGTTTTGGAAATT